GTTTAAGGTGTTCCTGAAGGCTGACTTGTCAACAAATAGAGCAGTCCTTAGTACATCTCAACTTTAATAACAATTTAAAAACTAGTCTTATTACATGTAGACATACACTGATAAGAAAGATAAAAAAAAAAAAAAAAAAACTAGTCTTATGAAAGTTGTCCAAGTCACAAACTTGGTCAATGAACTTAGTCAATGAACTAAAAGGCATTTGAGTTTTTCTTGTTTTCTTGATAACATATTTGATTTAAGTGCTTACTTTTTTAAGCCAATTAATTAGAGCTCTTTTACATATTTTGGTAGTGAAATATCACATACACATGACATATATAGACACAAAGACACACAGACAGAAGCAGATACTTTTAGGTGAAATAAGGTGGAAAATTTATATTTTGAAAGTATAGAGCTAGGACTTTAGGCCTAAATATTGTACCAGCATTTGTTTATACCAAGAGAAAATAGATTGGATGTAAAGTTTCAGTTAAGCCTTTCCCATGAGCCCGAAAAAGGAAGCCAGCAGTATTAAAAGGAGTTGGGTGTCTAACGTCACCATAAGATCTTTTTTTAGTGAGGGGTAGAGCAATTGGGAAGCACTAAAAGGACTGAGTAAAGATCTGATTTCCAAGTGAGCAGAGGAGCTGTGGAGTACCCAGGGGGTTTTGTGTTTTACCTTTTACACTGATTATGGAGATAGAAGAGGGAAGTGGATGTCTTGAAAATTCAGGAAGAGCAGTATAAGTGGTTGTGGTGTCAATCAGAAAATCAACATGCTTACTGTAACAGAGAGTTACCCGAGGCTTGGCCATCTGATAGTGTGAAATGGAGCTGGTTTTGATGCCGGGGTCTGTCAGTCAGGCTGAAGTAGTCCCAGAAGATCCGTGGTTATTGAGGATGCCTGCTAGGGGCCCTCTGGTTCCGGAATGCAAGAGCAGCCCCCTGTCTCAAGGAGAGGGCAATCCGGCTTCCAGCGTCCCTCCCTTTTGCAGTGAAGGCAGGGTCCCAGCAGAGCCCTGCTGGGGCATGTCTTAGTCCAGTGACCCAGCCGGTGTAGTTCAAGCAGGGTTCAGCTCCTGGAGAGAAGCATGGTCCTGGTGTCTTTTGCCTGGTCCTTCAGGGTAACCCTGTCTCTGAAAAGCTCCTCCTATAGCGGGAGCCGCCATTTGGAAAACCTCCTTCTGCTCTTGGGTCCTCTGGCTGTCCCGTTCCCTCCTTTTCTCTCTCCTCTCCTCATCTTAGTTATTAAAGACCTTGAAGGCCAGGTCTAAAAGTTCCGCTTATAGAGTTTGAGGCCGCTTTTCAGGTTTTTGGAGTTTATGCTGAATATCAGGGGGAGATAAAGTGTATTGTTGAGCTGATTTGTCTCTCTTTGGTGTCAGGATCTAAGTTAGTAAAAAAGCAAATGGCTTCAGACGGTCATGAAAGAAAAGGGGCTGGATTTTCATCCTGGCTTTAAGTAATATTTTTAACTTTATTATGAACAATGAGCTTAGCAGTGGCCCTTTTCATCCCTTCTATGAGACAGGAAAGCATGTGGTCTCACTGGCTCCTGTGAGGCGATCCCTGTTGGGAATCCCAATTCAGGTCCTGTTCTGGGACCACCGTGGGGCCAGCAGTGTATCAGGTTGTCTTCAGCTGAGATCGTCTGTATACTCCCTAGCCTGACCAAATACGGCCCGTTCCCCCAGAAGCAGTACAAGTGGAGAAAAGTATATGGATAGCTCTCCATGGCAGGGCATAGGAAAGGGTGAGATATTTGAATTCTTTGGAGAACCGGGAAGGATCAGCTGAGAAGCTGCCCAATTTGGTTTCTTTTCTTTTTTCTTTTTCTTTTTCAGACAGAGCCTCAGTCTGTTTCCCTGGCTAGAGTGCTGTGGTGTCAGTCTAGCTCACAGCAACCTCCAACTCCTGGGCTCAAGCGATCCTCCCACCTCAGCCTCCCACCTCAGCCTCCCACCTCAGCCTCCCAGAGTGCTAGGATTACAGCTGTGATTCACCGCGCCTGGCTTCCCAGTTTGGTTTCTATTAGAGACAGATCAGACATAGAAAAAGGAACATGAACTCAGATAATGCCTTCTGACCCGGCCATCTCTCGAAGGGGGAGTTGGTATATGGGGAGGAAGGGGTTGGGAGAAAGTACAGCTGGGCAAGAGGGGTGGAGACGCAGAAGAGGAAGAAGGAGGGGGAGAAATAGGTGGAAGTGAAAACAGTGGATGTCACCCTTGTCACTCAATTCCATTAGACAGTAGCACCAAAGGAGGAATGTGATATGGAGGGAAAGCAGGAGGAGCCAAAAGGGAAATATCATCCCAGTCAGAGGAGGATGAGGGAAGAGATGTAAAGGTAAGAAGTAACATCTGGCAGGTGGAGCAAAAATCAGGGTGCCAAGCGAGTTCATAGAAAGCCTGCACACACATACGGGACTTCAGACCACTTGTTGAGCTGGCGGCAGTAAAGGTCAAGTTGTAGAATGGTGCTATGATTAAGAGATCCACTCTCAGGCCAAATCTCCTGGTAATCTAATTTATATAGTGGCCAACCTATATTGCAATAGAAGACTAAATGTTTGGGCTGGAGGTCAATAGGTCCCAAAGTTGTCAATATTTTGAGAAGACATCCTTATGGGGAGTCTTTGGGTGAGCAACTGAACATTGCTCATGGTGATAACTAGGCGAAAGAAAAAGGGAAGGACTTTACAGACAGTCATACACTGAAACGCCAAGAGTCTGAGAAGGGTTTTCCCCACTAGACACCCTTCAGGGTGCTGAGCAGATATCAGTCATCCCCAGCTCTGAGTCAGACTGAAACCTAAAGACCTAGCAGAAAGCAGGTGTCCCTGAGTTCCGACAGAGACTGAAATGGAACCTAGAAAGCTTCTCCAAAGCCAGGCATCCTTGGGTCTAGGCAAAATCCGAGAGAGGGTGGTTAGAAGGGACCCCTCCAAGAGTGGCAGACCGGCACGGGGGTTTCCATAACCATGAAGCTGCCACTCTTTCTAGAGCATATGACCATCTCCAAAGTCCTAGCGACTTGCCAGGTTCCGAATGGCATTGAGGGTGCTGAGAAGGATGTCCCAGGAATGGCACAGCAGAGGAGTCAGCAGTCTCAAGACAGAGGCGGAAAAGTGAGTTCCCCGTATGGAGACAGACAAGTGACTCCTTGTACGGGCCACCAAATGTTAAGGTGAGAACTTGCAGCATGGCATGAGAAAGAATTCTTGACACAAAGATTAGGACAGGTTTAAAGAAAAAGTTTATTTTACTTTCTAAGAGGAAAGGGCATGGCATAAAAGCAAAAGAAAGAAGTGCCAGCCCCAAGGGTGAAGGTTTTTTGGCTTTTTATTGGGGGTTATAAAGGGTAAAAAAGTTATTGCTGTAAGCTGGTAACAAGAGGCTGCACTTGTTTTTCCTTTCTCTTTCCTTCTTCTCTGTGAGGCTGGCTTATCAGTCTCCCTAGAATGTGTTCTGGAGGAACTGGAGGAGGGTCATGCTCCTTCTATCTACCCAGTTATTTTCAAGTGTTGTAAAAACAAACTCTTAAAGACCACAAATTAAGCCACAAGTGGTTAATCCTAAAGACAACGAGTTGAGCCACAGGCAGTTAATCAAAGGGCAGTTGTGTGCTGTGATCTTTGTCTCTTTTTTTCTATTAGATAATTTTTCTCTGCTAGGAAATTTACTAGCAATGCCATCCTTTCACTCCTGCCTCAGCCTCCCAAGTAGCTGGACTACAGGCTTGCATCACCACACTCAGCTAATTTTTCTATTTTTTGTAGAGATAGTGTCTCACTATGTTGTTCAGGCTAGTCTCGAACTTCTGGCCTCAAGTGATCCTCCTGCCTCGGCCTCCCAAAGTGCTAGGATTACAGGTGTGAGCCACCATGCCCAGCTTACTTTCAACACTAAGGACATCAAATGTGTTGATTTTCCACCCCAAGTAATTCTCCAATTCTCTACACACAGCAACCAGGGTTCCTACAATTAACTCAATCCTGACACTAACTACCTGGAGTTAACACAGGCCCCACAGGTTAAGGGCTCAGCCACACAAGACTGCCCCTCACTTCAGATGCCAATCGCAAGTAGTGGTTCCCAGGTTTCCCATATTGCTGTCAAACTTGGCTACAAGTTGGAGGTTCTCACAACCTTCAAGTTCAATAATTTGAGGCCCAAAGAACTCAGGGAAACACTTTACTTACTATTACTCGTTTATTATAAAGGATATGACTCAGAGGCCAGGTACGGTGACTCACCTGAAACCCTAGCACTCTGGGAGGCTGAGGCAGACTGATCGTTCAAGGTCAGGAGTTCGAAACCAGCCTGAGCAATAGTGAGACCCCATCTCTACTAAAAATAGAAAGAAATTAATTGGCCAACTAAAAATATATAGAAAAAATTAGCTGGGCATGGTGGCTGGCATATGCCTATAGTCCCAGCTACTCGGAAGGCTGAGGCAGGAGGATTGCCTGAACCCAGGAGTTTGAGGTTGCTGTGAGCTAGGCAAACGCCATGGTACTCTAGCCCGGGCAACATAGTGAGACTCTGTTGCAAAAAAAAAAAAAAAGGTATTAAGAACCAGGGGCAGAGACCAAATATATATTTCTTATTATGTCACACTCCCCCATTTTCTCTGGGATGGCTACAGGATAGGAAGTGTGGGAGGATGTGAGGGCAGAAGTGGGGGTACAGGAGCTGGCAAGGAGAAGACAGTGGGAACTGGAAGGGTCTAGCCATCATTCATCCAGAAGTTACAGACTGACAACCCCAAGTGGAACCAAGCACAGAGACATGTTTTTCTTGGATTACACAGTCTTTTAGATTTTTTAAGCCTAATATTCAAAAACATATATTACATAAAATTTCAAATTCTCCCGCATGCTTGACAAATCAAAAGCTATGGGATAGCATGCTCACATTCCCACATGACAGCAATTGGCTGGAATTCTGAAGGCATTGTGCTGTCAGACAGCATGTATGACCTTTGATTTGCTACAGTCTCCATCACTCCCTATTGCCCTTCACTGCTGAGGCTCACCATCATTTGTCATTCAACACTGAGCTACAGCTGTTTTTCTTACTCCCAACCTAATAGTTGGGATTAAGAAAGGAGGCCAAGCATAGTTACATGCTTGGCCCCTTTGGACCTAAGTTTTTGACCTCTTAGCTAGTCTGAGCCCGTCATTTAACAGAACAAACAAGCGCCAAGAAGGGACATGACCTGGTGACAATTGCTAGTGAATCAGTGGAAGAACCAGGACCAGATCCCAGTGCCCCACCTTCTGAGGACATCCATGACCTGATTCTTTAATGCATGTCCTTGTAGCAGCGCCTGGAAAGTCTTTCCCCCTGAGGCCCTCAAAGGGAAACAGAGGTCTCAGAATCCATGAGGACTCCCTCCCCTTAGGCCAACCAGTGGCCTTGGGACCCCAGATTAAAGAGGAGAAGAAGGGCCTGCCTGCTTGTGCGTGTGTGGCAGAGGTGGGTTTGGATCATGGGGTCTGGACATGAATGCCCAAGTGGCAGGAAGTGCTTCAAATCAGAGCTCCTTTGGAGGCACAGAATACCGGGTCCCTGGAAGGGGAACAGACGTGTTGTGGGAACAGGGCAGCCAGGGAGGGGAACAAAGGTTAATGCTGGGGGTGACCAGATCCTTCCGCCAGAGCTGACCACTTCTGCCTTTGGAAAATGTTTCACAACGCCCCGTGTGTGTGCTGCATGTGTGAATGTGCGGACGGGAGGCGAGCGGTGATGTAAGAGGCGGGAGCCCAGCCGGGATGGGTAAGAGGGTGTGGGCTCGCACACTCACTCGCACCAGCACCCAGAGAGGGGTGCAGGGTGAACAGCTGCCCAGCACGTCGCTTACACCCGGCGAGTACCTGAAGCCTGCGTCCTCATGGCAGGTGAGTAGTGGCCTCCAAGGACATAGCCTGGTTAGGGTGGGGGGACCGAAGAGGAGACTAGGCTGGAAGAGACTTGAGAAGGCAAGAGAAAGGACTACACTTTCAGGGATCATTTCTATAGTTCATTACCAGAGAGTTTCTCTGAACGCGTAGAGCACCGGAAACCACGAGGAGGAGGCACAGCATCCTCCCCTGAGTGTGAAGCCGGCTCTTGGTGCTGCTACCGCCACTTGCCACTGACAATCGTTCTCTCCTTTTTGGGGAGAGTAAGAGGGAGAGGACGCAGTCTGAGTGGTTTCCTTTAAAAAGAAAAAACAAAATGAAGAAGGCGAGAGAAGTCCTGTCTCCCCCACCCCCGACCACTGCTGGAGTCCTGGTCTAGACCACAGGTCTGGACACCGGACCCACTGGGGCTGGGCCCTTCACGGCCCTAATGCCTCACTTGTTCTTGTCTGGTCTCCATGGATTGGAGCCCCTGGGGTGTCCCCAGCTGCTGGGGAGGCAGGGACAGGCCAGGGGCAGACATGTGGACTCAGCTTGCCTCTCTCAGAGTCCAGTGTCTCCCTCCCATCCTCTGTGGCAGAAGATCTGGATTGAGGGATCTCTGTGCTCACGTGGGAGGAAAGCAATTCTGAAGCATCCACATCCCACACCTGTATCTTCTGGAATGTTTTGTCGAGGGGTGGAGGTGATGGACCCAAGATGGGGACCAGACCTTAATTTCCCCACGCTGCCTGGAGGAGGTGGGAGAGGGGGCAGGTGGCTTTAACCCTGGGCCACCAGAAAGAGAAAGGATACTCACCCTGCCTCACGGGGTCCCTCACAGGTGACAGGGACCCCCAAAGGCTGAGCAGGCCCAGCTACGGCTCCCTCTCCAGCCCACCTGGCCCAGGGCCACAGCAAGCACCTCCCAGAGAGACCTACCTGAGTGAGAAGATCCGCATCCCGGACACGAAATCGGTGGGAATGCTGGGAACTTCCAAGGGGCTTTGGGGATCGACAGGATCCAGTGGGACCTTACAGGCTGGGGGAGGTGGGTCTTCTTGGGACCATGGCAAGTCCCTTCCAGCTCTGAGCATCGGTGGCAGACAGTGTCAACTGTCTCTATTCCCAGCACCCAGCACTCAGCTAGGGTGCTCAGTATTTGTGTGAAAATTATCAAATTGCTTTCTGAACGAGTCTCAGCTTTCCTATGAAGGAAAAGGAGGCTGGGGTGACCTGGGGTTGGAGGCTGGAGGTTGTGTTTTAGTATTTAAGGAGAAGATCAGGACGGGGCATAGGGAGACATGGAGGAGGCTGCAGGCTGGCATCTAGGATGCTGTCATCTGCGTTTCCAGAATCTTTAGCAGATTCCTAAGCTCATGTGCCAAGCCCTGGAATGGGCTGGGGAGATCAGAGCCTCGGTGGACCCCAGAGAGGAGGACTTGTGGTCTGAGAAGGGGCTGGGGAGGGAGGAGCTGGACCAGGGAGCCTTAACCCCAGAAATCCCCCTCTCAGGGCTCTGAGAACCTGCTGAGTCAGAGCCTGCGAGAGGCAGGCGGGGCAGGTACAGGCCGGCCATGCCACGGAGAATGTTCTGGCTCCAAAAAGCAGATCCTCTGTGATTCAGCAAATCCTGCTGCTTCCTCTACCCGTGCCCCTTCCCCAAACGGCAGCTCCAGGCATGGGGACCAGGGGGCAAGCTGACCCGCCTGGGCTCAGGGGGCTGTGGGGCTTAGCTGGGGGCTGGCCAAGGCCAGCTGCTATCACCCACACACCCAGGACCCCACCAGCCTGCTCCCACCCCTAGGGCACGTTCAGCCTGCGGAAGCTGTGGGCCTTCACGGGGCCTGGCTTCCTCATGAGCATCGCTTTCCTGGACCCGGGAAACATCGAGTCAGATCTCCAGGCTGGAGCTGCGGCTGGATTCAAAGTGACTGAATCAGGGCTGGGGGAAGTTGGGGGATTCCGGTGGGAAGGGAGGTGAGCAGGTTAAGTGGGCGGAGGTCCCCGCTTGCTATGTTTTCCCAGGGCGGCCTGCATGAACGGTGCTCCTGGGAGCAGGTGCCAAAGTCAAATGTGCCAGGAAAGGGTCCCCAGTACAGCCCTGCCAGAATGTGGGGTGTTTGGGGGAGGGGGTTGGTATTTTTGCTATATCTCTCCCACACTCTCCCCAAGGAGTATTCTTGGTTAGAGGGTGCCACCAACCCCGGGGCTTTCTGAGACTGGCCCCTCTGGCTGAAGTCCTCTCCCTGCCTTCTCACAGCTGCTTTGGGTGCTGCTCTGGGCCACGGTGCTGGGCCTGCTCTGCCAGCGACTGGCTGCCCGCCTAGGCGTGGTGACAGGCAAGGATTTGGGCGAGATCTGCCATCTCTACTACCCGAAGGTGAGCCTGGAGACCTGGGCAGAAAGCACACACTGGTCCCAAATCCCAAACAGCTATTTACAGCTTTCATGATCAAATAAACACATCATCTCACCTGGGGCATCCCAAGTCCATTTGATAGATGAAAAGACTGAGGCCAAACTGAGCGCGCAATCTGAGAGGCACATCAGAGATGCGTCACTCATTTTCCAGAAGGGGAAATTGAAATCTGAGAAAGTGACCAAGCCAAAAAATAGGGAAGTATCAACTCAGGGATGGTCACTGGCTGGGGTGGATCCCGGCAACTTGGCGGTTGTGAGTGTCCAGTAAGGAAAACAAATTGTACCACTAAACATTTCAAAGTATTTAATGCAGCGATTTAAGAGTCTGGGAGGGCTGGAGGAGCAAGGGAAGAGGGTGTTACCCCAAAATCAGAAAGCTGCTACACCCCTGGCACCAGCCCAAGAACCATCACGGTGCTGAGCTTCCGGAAGCATTGCTGATACTAATGAAATAGCCAGTCACCAGTGCTGCCGGTTCCCAGGTTGCCTAGTGTCCTTGCTGGTGCCACTGCCAGAAACCACCAGAAACATGGGGAAAATGGCTTCTCTTTCCCTTTCAATTTCCTGAAAGCATTTCCTACACAACCCATGGGGAAGCCAGCCAGCAAGGCTGTCTTGCAAATGCAGTTTGCAGGCTTCTAGCCCAGCAGCACAGTGCAGAGCATGGGAAGGTGAGTGTCGTGCTGAGACAACAGACAAATAACTGGCCCACCCTTAATGAAGGCTTGCTTCCTCCCCATAGGTGCCCCGCACCCTCCTTTGGCTGACCATTGAGCTAGCCATCGTGGGCTCGGACATGCAGGAGGTCATCGGCACAGCTATCGCGTTCAATTTGCTCTCAGCTGGACGGTACCGCCCCAGTGTATCCCAGCTTGTCAGGCTAGGGCTGGGACCAGTTTCTACTTCTTCCCTAAGCCTCGTGCTTCCCTGAGTCCATTTCATCCTGTCTCCTCTGACGCAGGGCTGTTGCCTTACTTCCCAGAAATGAAAAATGACTTGTCTAAAGTCATGCCGAGGCCTGGCGCGGTGGCTCACGCCTGTAATCCTAGCTCTCTGGGGGGCTGAGGCGGGCGGATTGCTGGAGGTCAGGAGTTCGAAACCAGCCTGAGCAAGAGTGAAACCCCGTCTCTACTATAAATAGAAAGAAATTCATTGGCCAACTAATATATATAGAAAAAATTAGCCGGGCATGGTGGCGCATGCCTGTAGTCCCAACTACTTGGGAGGCTGAGGCTGGAGGATTGCTTGAGCCCAGGAGTTTGAGGTTGCTGTGAGCTAGGCTGATGCCATGGCACTCACTCTAGCCTGGGCAACAAAGCGAGACTCTTGTCTCAATAATAAATAAATAAAGTCATACCGATGTGAGTTCTGCAGACTTCAGAACTGCAGCCCCAAGCTCCCTGCCATGCCTAATCTCCCATCTAGCTTTGCCCTTTCTAGAGTGTTCTGTGCTATTTTTCCATTTCCAGCACACTCTCACTCCCCTCACCCTAGCTGTCTGAGGGCTCTTGGATTCCGGCTCCCAGGAGGCCAGACTCCACAGTTTCCAGCCCAGAGCAAGACCCCTGGGCCAATCTGGACTGACCCAGGCCCCTCTGGTTTTCAGAATCCCACTCTGGGGCGGCGTCCTCATCACCATAGTGGACACCTTCTTCTTCCTCTTCCTTGATAACTACGGTAGGTGTGCACCTCCCAGGCAACGCTGGGGTGAGGATGCCGTGCTGGGGGAGGGGCTCTGACATTGCCTGGCGGCAAGTGGGAGCTCCCTCACCCTAGCTGTGTGGCCAGTGACATAGACTTGGGTTTCTTTTGTAAAATGGGGAAAATAATAGCACAGACATCCTAGGTTGTCGTGAAGGTTCAGTGCGGTAATATATCTTAAGCACTTGGCTCAGTGCCTGGAAGTGCTCTGAACATTAGGCATTAACAATTGTTTACCTTACAGATTTTTTTGGTTTGTCTGTTTGTTCGGCCCCTTTGCCCTGCCCCTAGGTTTGCGGAAGCTGGAAGCTTTTTTCGGATTCCTTATCACCATTATGGCCTTGACCTTCGGCTATGAGGTGGGAAGCCAGAGCTGCAACTCTCTGTGGCCCCAAGGTCATTCCTCTCCCTTCCCCCAAACCAGGGCTGAGTGGAGGGCGTGAAGAATCGGTAAAGGTGGCAGAGGCTGTGAAGGGGCGGGACGTGTCATGACCAGACTCCTCCCTACAGTATGTGGTGGCACGTCCCGCGCAGGGAGCGCTTCTTCGGGGCCTGTTCCTGCCCTCGTGCCCCGGCTGCGGCCAGCCTGAGCTGCTGCAGGCCGTGGGCATCGTGGGCGCCATCATCATGCCCCACAACATTTATCTGCACTCGGCCCTGGTCAAGGTGAGCAATGGGGCGGGGCGGGGGAGGGTGAGGGAAACGCCCCTGCCCTAGAGCCACTCAGGCCCCGCCTCCATGCCTGGAGCCCCGCCCCCCTAGCACCTTCCTCTAGGAGAATCATTATCTCTTTTTAAAATTTTCTTTCTTTTTTTTTTTTTGAGACAAAGTCTCACTTTGTTGCCCAGGCTGGAGTGAGTGCGCTGGCGTCAGCCTAGCTCACAGCAACCTCAAACCTGGCTCAACCATCCTCCTGCCTCAGCCTCCCGAGTAGCTGGACTACAGGCATGCGCCACCATGCCCGGCTAAGTTTTTTTTCTATGTAATTATTGTGGCCAATTAATTTCTTTCTATTTATAGTAGAGACGGGGTCTCGCTCTTGCTCAGGCTGGTTTCGAACTCCTGACCTCGAGCAATCCACCCGCCTCAGCTTCCCAGAGTGCTAGGATTACAGGCGTGAGCCACCACACCCGGCCTAAAATTTTCTTAATAATATTTTTTTATTAGAAGTGTGGGGTGGTGGCTCACACCTGTTAGCACTATGGGAGACAAAAGGATCACTTGAGACCAGGAGTTAGAGACCAGCCTAACCAATATATTGAGACTCTGTCTCTACAAAAAATTAAAAATTTAGCCAGGATGGTTGCATACACCTGTAGTCCCAGCTTCTCGGAGGCTTGAGGCAGGAGGATTGCCGAAGCCCAGGAGTTCATCACTGCAGTGAGCTATGATTGCACCACTGCACTCCTGCCAGGGTGACAGAGTGAGATCCTGTCTCTATTAAAAAATAATATTTTTTTTTGTTAGAGATGGGATCTCGCTATATTGCCCAGGCTGGCCTCAAATTCCTGGGTTCAAGCAATCCTCCCACCTCAGCCTCCCAACTAGCTAGGACTACAGACTCAAGTAACTGTGCTGGGTAACATTCCTTACTAACTGAATAAATAGCTGGACACAGTGGCATGGGCATGTAGTTCCAGCTACTCAGGAGGCTGAGGCAGAGCATCACTTGAGCCCAGAAGTTGGAGGTTGCAGTGAGTTAGGATCAGGTCTCTGTGGCAAAAGCAAAGATGTTCAAAAAAAAAAAAAAAAAGAGCAGAGATGTAGGATAGGGTCAGCTGACCAGGGCCTGCACCAGACTGCCACAGAGGGTACTTTAGAAGGTACTGGGGTGTGGCAGACCATAGGCAGAAGTGTGAGAGTGGGGGAAATTGTGGTGGCCCTAAAGGATTTTGGCCCTTCTCCCTTTAACCTTCATAGTCTCGAGAGATAGACCGGACCCGCCGAGTGGATATCCGAGAAGCCAACATGTACTTCCTGATTGAGGCCACCATCGCCCTGTCTGTCTCCTTCATCATCAACCTCTTTGTCATGGCTGTCTTTGGACAGGCCTTCTACCAGCAAACCAACCAGGCTGCGGTGAGACACACTCCCCCGCCCCGTGCACCTGTGGCCATGCCCTACACACATGCCCTGCAAGCTCTGCTGAGGACCCGGGCGATGCAGACTCTGCCCTGGACTGCAGCCACTGGGGTCCTGTCTCCTGATAATCTTCACTGTTGATAGATAAACCATAGTTCATTCAGCAAATAATTAATTAGTGAGTGTCAGTGTCGTTATATACCAGGCAGTGCCCTAAGACCCTGAGGATACGACAGTCAATAGTCAATGATGCAAAGACCCTGCCTGCTTGTAGCTTAAATAGAGAGGAGGATGAGCACACAGGAAACAGGTCAACGAATGAATACCCACAGGAGGTAGAGAGTGTGAACAATGACAACACCATGAAAGAAATAAAGGGGGCCATGCAGCATAACTGGGGGCGTGGGGTGGGGAGTTACATTAACCCATGTGGTCAGGACAAGCTTCCTGGAAGAGGAGACATTTGTGCTCACACTGAAAAAGGAGCTGGTCAGCTCCTGACTCTGGGATTTGGGACCTGTGTCTGTCTCTCTTTCTGAGTGGGTCTCTGTCATGAGGCTGTAACAACTGCTAGCCAGTGGCGGGCACTTACTGAATGCTGAACACCGTGTGTGGGTCCCCTCTGGAGACCTGGGCACCACCACTGCCTTGCTATGTGACCTTGGGAGGTCATGCCCCTCCCTGGGTCTCACTCTGTTCCTTGGCACAAGGAAAAGAGGTCTAAATAGGGGATTGCAAACCCTGCAAGACCAGGCGGCCGCACAGCTGTGGGAGGTGAGCGGGTGTTAGGAAGGGGCGTGGGGGCATGCCAGCCAATTGTCTCTCTGTGGTCATGCCAGCTCTTACAAATCCAAGAGAAGCTGGAGGCCAGGTTCTCGTGAGACGTCTTCTCTAGTTTAAATGTTGGCAACAAATTCACATTAAAGAGAAAAAAAACCCCAAGTTTGTTAGCCAAACAAAGTATGTCCAACCGGATTCGGCCCGCGCGGGCCACCAATTTCTGAACCCTGATCAAGGCCGGCAGTCTGGTTTTCCAAGACTGAATGTGCGCTTCACATCTTCCTCCCCCTGCCCCGGTGCTCGCAGTTCAACGTCTGTGCCAACAGCAGCCTCCACGACTACGCCAAGATCTTCCCCATGAACAACCAGACGGTGGCCGTGGACATTTACCAAGGAGTAAGCGCGCAGCACCGGAGGACGGGGGAGGACGGGGGAGGACGGGGGAGGACGGGGGAGGACGGGGGAGGACGGGGGAGGACGGGGGAGGGCGGGACCCGTCGGGGCTCCTCGCCTCGCCCACCTCAGGGGCGGAGCCTGCGCGGAGAGAGGCGTGGCCATTGGTCTGACCACGCCCCATCCCTCCAGGGCGTGATCCTGGGCTGCCTTTTCGGCCCCGCAGCCCTCTACATCTGGGCCATAGGTCTCCTGGCGGCCGGGCAGAGCTCCACCATGACAGGCACCTACGCGGGACAGTTCGTGATGGAGGTGGGGCAGCCCTGAGGTCCTAGGACAACAGGCGCACTGCTAGGGGCTTGGACACCCGGCTTTGTTGATCCTTAAAGTAACCCAGAGAGCGCCACTATTAAGCCTCACTTTACAAATGAGAAAACTGAGATTCAGAGAGATGAGGCGACCCGAGGAAGCTGCAGACCCAGGACTAACAGGAGCCTTTTCCCAAAAACCGTTTAGTCTTCAGCAACCAGCTATGGGAGGAGAACACCCTCCGCCCCCCATTTCTCCCCACCTATCCCTTCTCTGCCACTCTGACAGAATAATGGAAACACAGAGCATCCCCCGGGCATGGGGTGGGCTGAGGGAGGACAGAGGGTCCCTCCTCTGGAATCTCTAGTCCTGCCCACCCCCCCACCAAGGTGCTCACCCCGTACCTCCCAGGGCTTCCTGAGGCTGCGGTGGTCACGCTTTGCCCGAGTCCTTCTCACCCGCTCCTGTGCCATCCTGCCCACCGTGTTGGTGGCTGTCTTCCGGGACCTGAAGGACCTGTCAGGCCTCAACGACCTGCTCAACGTGCTACAGAGCCTGCTGGTAAGACGCACAGTCTCTGGCACCCCTGCCAGCTGCAGAGCTAAACAGGAACCACAGCAGTCCCTCCCGCTGAGCGCCCCCCTCCCCCGCCAGGCCCTATCCTAAACACACTTTGCCTACAAGGCTCACATAATTCCAGGAATCACCATTTTATCCCCATTTTACAGGCGGGAAAACTGATGCACGTGACTAGTGACTAGTGGCAGAGCTAGGATTCAAAATCAACCAGCCCCCAAAACACCTCCTCCTGCTTTGGAGCCCCATGACCTTGGAAAGCATAGAGAGAGGGAAAGAGGCTCAGAGTGGTTTAGGGGACTTGCCCAAGGGCACACAGCCAGGCAGAGGATGACAAGTTGCACCCTTTCCTCCCCTGCTGTATTCTGAGGGCAGGGTCCCTTAGCCTCAGCTTCAGCCTCTGCCTCCCCCTGCACTCCCCAGCTCCCGTTCGCTGTGCTGCCCATCCTTACATTCACCAGCTTGCCCGCCCTCATGCAGGAGTTCGCCAATGGCCTGTAAGTACTCCCCATCCCAAGCACTGGACGTGCATGACCCCATTTGATCCTCACAACCCCCCAGAGGTAGGAGGTACTATTATCCCTATTAGCCAGATGAAGCAACTGAGGCTCAGAGAGGTTAATACACTTACCCAGAGTCACATAGCTAGAAAGTGGCAGAGCCAGGACTGGAATCCAGGGGTGAGGGCTATATCTACAGCCTGAGGTCCTCACTCTCACCCCATAATCTGCTCTAGCTAAATCTTGCCCCTTTGCATCCTGGAAAGCCTAGAAGGCAGGAGGTGGGCTGGGGGGGGGGGTGTCCTATCTGCTCCAAGTCCCACAGCCCAGAGAAGCTGAGAGCAGGCTCTGTGTATCCACCCCACCGTCAGCTGTGGGCTCTAGGGGAGGAGGAGGAAAGGGAGAAGGAAGAGGAGAAGATACAGGTGGTCAGCTGTGTCCAGCCAGTCCTGAGCCTCTCTTGTGTCCTCCAGGCTGAGCAAAGCCATCACCTCCTCCATCATGGCACTGGTCTGCGCCATCAACCTCTACTTCGTGGTCAGCTTCCTGCCCGGCCTCCCCCACCCCGCCTACTTCGGCCTTGTGGCCCTGGTGGCTGCAGCCTACCTGGGCCTCACTATCTACCTGGTACTGTGGGGCCAGGCGGTGCCTTGGGGATGGGGGAGGCAGAGCAAGGAGGCCACAGATGGGGAGGGCATGGGGGGGGACTTCCCCAGAGGTCTTGGCCTCTCCCCAACTCTTGGCCTCCTCTCCCCCAGATCTGGACCTGTTGCATTGCCCATGGAGCCACCTTTCTGGCCCACAGCTCCCACCAACACTTCCTGTATGGGCTCCCCGACGAGGAGAAGGAGGGGGAGACCTCTGGATGAACCCCCACCCAGGGCCTGGCTGGAAGGCGGAACGGGTGGGGCAGCTGACCTGCTGGGCAGGACAGGGCTTGAAGGCAGCAGCACAGAGTGGGAGAGTTTTGGAGGCAGGCCCACGTGGGGCCCTTGGGGACCTACTGTTTCCTAGCTCAGACAAGAGATTAACCTCTGGGTCTGTGTCCTCATCTGTAGAATGGGACAACACCAACCTTGCGATGGACGCTAAGCACTTTAACACAGTGCCTGGCACTTGGGACCTAAAAAAAAAAAAAGCATTCAAAAAATATTTATTGAGCACCTATAGGAGTGACCTGACAAGACCAACGGTGGGGCTGGGGTGAGGCCGGATGAAGGCTCCAAACTGGCACATAAAATAGAGTCTAATAAATGCCAAATAAATACTTGTTCACTTCTCTTCTGGAACCTGTGGCCTCAAGGTTACAGGTGGCCCTCCAGATCCCCAACGGCGGCCCCACGGCTGAATCCAAACTTCACAAGACAAATCCCTTTAAAAAGATTTGTTTTGTAAAATTTGGATTCAGCCAAAAGGCCGCACTCAAGGACCCAAAAGGCCGCATGTGGCCCCAAGGCCGCAGGTTCCCCACCCCAAAGTCTGATTCCCTCCTATTGCCCGCAGCCTTTCAGTTACGCCTGCAACCCATTTTCCAGCCACTAAAACGGAGGCGCGGTTCCCTCTTCTTCAGGGACCAGGTCGTAAGGAACCCAAGAGTCCGTGCCTCCCAGGCCCAATTCCTCTGCCATCTCCCCAGGGGGCTGGGCGGCCGGGACTCCCACGCCGCGCAGTTAACACTCCCTCTCAGCTGAGTCCCAGCTCCCCCTAGGGGCAGGGACGGTCCCGAGCGCCGGCACTCCCGCCTTGGCCTCACCCCTCCCGGCCAAGTGTAACAACTGGGAGAGGCCCGCGGTCGGGTCTCAAACCCGGCCCCCCACCCCCGGAATCCTCCCGGGCGAGGAGGTGGGGAGGAACTGTGTGGGCGGGGAACCCCCTCTGCCGCAGGGAGCGGCCGGACACCCCTTCGCCCTGTTCAGGGGCTGCACTTTATCGACGTTCCCTAGGCTGTTTCTAGGCTACCCCAAGTCCCTCCTCCAGTTCCTCGGACCCCAGCCCGGGAGCTGCGGACAGCCGCAGCCAGGAGAAGGGGCATCCTGGGCCTTTCCCTGGAGTTAAGCCAGGAGCGAGTGCTGTACCTGGGAGTACCCCCAATTTCCCGGGGACCCAGCATAGCAGGCGACGCGCAGGTCTGGACGATTGTTTATGAGAAGAATTTCCTCTTTCTTAAAAGGGCAACGATGCGAGTGGGGCCCGCAAAAAGAGAAGGAATGGGACAGGTCTGGAGCAACCAGGGCAACTGCCGCAGAAGGCACCCGGGCAGGAGGGCTGCCCGCCCTCCTCCGGATTAGCAATGGAGAAGGGGCCCAAGAGAGCTGAAGGAGCGGACAGATGGGGGGCGGATGGATGGGGGGCGGGTAGTGAAGAAAGGCATCTTGCAGATCCTCCAGCTCCCAAAAGTGGCCCCAGCTGTGTCCTCTGCCCACCCCTCTGGTCAATTCCCTTGGCATTAATTGGGTCCCCGTCCCGTGCCAGGCCCGGTGCTACAGGTGGGGGAGGGAGGCAAAGTCCTGAATTAAAGATGTCAGCTGTCCAGGAGCAGAGCGGGGAGATGGCTAAGTCACTGAGTAGCAAGATGTGGTGAAGGGCGCTGCCAGTGAGGCCTGGGCCAGAGGTGACAACTCCTGCACGGGACTGTGAAAGCTGAAGGGGAGTGGGGGGCAGTCCAGGCGAAATGAATGTGCCAGGAGTGGGGGGCTTGTGCGTGCATAAGCTCGGAAACATGAAACGGGTTTCAGGGGAGTTCTTGGATTTTGTGAGGCAGGACTAGGGGATCCCTGAGATGGGCAGGCTGGTCCTGTGAACTTGGGGACAAAGAAGACACCTGAGTGCCAGCGAAGGAGCTACCCTGGACCTGGGGGAAGGCTTGGTGATGAGATCAGGTCAAGGTCAGGCATTTTAGGACAGGTAGGCCCCTGCTTAGAGCCCTCCAGCCCCATAAGCAGCTCTGGGCCTCTCAGCTCCACAGGCTCAGCTCGAACTTGACCCAGGATGGGCCGCTCCACCGCAGCCCCGGGTGGGAGTGCCAGCTGAGATACCCCCTGGGGCGGGCTTTCCCGGCCCCATTTGGCAGATGGGGAAGCTGGGGTGCTGGATGGAAAACACAAGTATTTGTTCACAGTTGCCAGACAGGACTCTGCCGAGTCCCCTTTCTCCCCCACCCCATTGCCCCGCCGCCATGACTTCATTCTTCCTGGGGGTGCAAACCGATGGAACAGATAAAAATAAACTGTGTGGGTAAAGCGACCCACAGCTGCTGGGGTAGAAAGGGGAGCAGCGAGTGTGGACAACCTCCCCCCATCTCCAGGGAGGAAACCCAAAGAACTCCCGCCCCCAACCCTACCGGCCTCCCTGCGGCTTCGGGAGAGAACTTAGGGGGTCCCGGCGGAAGGTGCGCCCAGCGCAGCTGCCTTGGCGCCCGAGAGGGGGAAAGGTTTCCGGGGAAGAGACCTGCTCCCGCAAAGGCTAGAGGGGCAGTTGGGACGGGGAGGGATCCCCGAGGAATCCTGTGAGCTCACGATGGCCCGCCTGGAAATGGGGGAGTGGGGGAGAGCAGCCCGGCCCTGCCAGTGCCCCGTCCCCGAGTCAGCTCCTCTGACCGTCAGGGGGCCACGCCGGCCAGGTTCCAGCCCTTCCCAGACCAAGAAGCGGAGTACGAGGGAGGCGAGCCGCCCTGCCCAGGCCAGTGCTGCACTCAGTCCCCCGCCACACATTTCCTTTTGAGGTCAGTGCGGGCCGGGCGTCCGGCGATAAAGCCGAGGCCCCACCCCGAGGCCGGACCGAAGGGGGGACGCTCCGCCTCTGCCCTCCGTGGAGGGCTGGGCACGCCGCCTCACTGGTGGAGCGGATTCTTATCTGCAGAATGGGACAAGAAGGGGGCCGTCCGGCGGAGTGAATGAGACTGGGCTTGCGGCCAGGGCGGGCCCCAGACGGGCGCGGGCGCGGGCGGCGCGCAGGCGACTAAGACGACGCGCAGTCGGGCAGCCCTGAGGGCGCCGTGGGGTCCAGCCCGGGGCGGTCGGGCCCGCCCGCCGCCGCTCCCAGGCTCTGGGCACGAAGCCGCGCGCTCCCGAGCAGGCGCAGCGCCTCCCTCCCCGGCGCCCGGCCCTCCCCGCCCGGCTCCCCAGGCGGGCCCGGCGGACGTGCGCCGCGCTCGCCCGCTCCCGGCGGCCGGACGGGACAGGACGCGCCCGCCCCGCCCCGCCCGGGAGGCCCGGGGCGGGGAGGAAGTGGCGAGGCGTGTTTGTCGAGGCTTGGCGTCAGTATTAATTTTTAAACTGCGAACACAAAATAGTAACGACGAATGATAGGAAGATCGCAGCCCGCAGACCCCACGGCGCGCACGGCGCGGGGCTGCCCCCGGGAAGAACACGCGGGCCCGCGCCGGCCGGGGCGTGTCTGCACAGTCCCGGGTGGAGGCATGCTAAAGCCCTCTAAACGGCTGTCGTCTCAGGCCCCGCGGTCGGGCTCCGGGCCCACTGTGTGCGGGCGCGTGCCGGGCACTCGGTTGCACAGCCAAGTCCCAGTAACCCCACCCTTAGGGCCAGAGCCGGAGCGGCCGGCGTGCGGGGTAGAGGAGGGGCTCTGGGAAGGCCTCTGGGGAAGGGGGCATTTCTTTGAGGCCGGCGGGATTTGGCTCCGCGATGGGAACAGCGCCTTCCAGACGGAGGGAACAGCGCTTACGACAGCCCCGAGTCCGGAGGTGCACGGGCCCCCTGGGCGGGAACGCTAGGTGGCGGGCGCGGTGGGCCAGCTGGGAGAGGTCAGCGGGCGGTGCCCGGAGTGGGGAGTTCGAATTTTCACGCCTTACAGATTCCAGGCATCTCGCTCGGAGACCGCGGTGGTGGTGACGTCACAATCAAGAACCTACTTCATGCCAGAGCGTTGGCTCAAGCCTGTTATCCTAGCGGGAGGATGGCTTGAGCTCAGGAGTTCGAGACCAGCCTGAGCGACGGCGAGACTCCGTCTCTACTAAAAATAGGAAAATTAGCCAGGCAATGCGGTGTATGCCACTAGTCCCAGCTACTCGGGAGGCTGAGGCTGGAGGATCGCTTGAGCCCAGGAGTTTGAGGTTGCTGTGAGCTAGGCTGACGCCAGGGCATTTTAGCCCAAGTGACAGAGCGACTCTGTTTCAAAAAAAAAAAAAAAAAGCATACTTCTGTGGATTTGCACAGCTGTCTGGAGCTAGCAAACAACCTTCGCTCACTCACGAAGTCCCTGCGAGGTGGCCCCTGCGACCAACACACGAGACAGAACACCCATTTTGCAGATGAGGTAGCGTTAGCTCCGTTTCCCCCGTGAAGAAAGCGAGAAGCCGCTAGTCCCAAGCCCTCGGAATGCGCAGAGGTGGAGCCGTGCCACCCTCGGGCGCTCCCCCGCGTGGGCGGGAGGGCGGACCTTGGCCCCAGGAGCTCCGCGGCCTGGAACCGCGGGCCGGGCGCAGGGCCTGCCACGCAGCCGCAGAGGCTCTGCCCCGCCGGCGGGCGGCAGGAAGGGAGGCGACGCCCCCTGGAGCGCGGCAGGAACCCGGCCCGCCTCCCAGTCCTCCTAGCCGCGCCGGCCCCAGAAGTGATGAAAGCCGCGGCCGAGTCCAGGTCACGCCGAAGCCGTTGCCCTTTTAAGGGGGAGCCTTGAAACGGCGCCTGGGTTCCATGTTTGCATCCGCCTCGCGGGGAGGAAACTCCATGTTGTAACAAAGTTTCCTCCGCGCCCCCTCCCTCCCCCTCCCCCCAGAACCTGGCTCCCCTCCCCTCCGAAGCTTGCGGGGATCCCTCCCTCCCACCCCTCCCCTCCCCCCCGCGCCCCGATTCCGGCCTGAGCCGGGGGGGAGGCCGGGCGCCCGGGCCAGAGTCCGGCCGGAGCGGAGCGCGCCCGGCCCCATGGACAGCTCGGCCGTCATTACTCAGATCAGCAAGGAGGAGGCTCGGGGCCCGCTGCGGGGCAAAGGTACAGGGGCTGCGGCAGCCCGGGCGCCGAGGGAGGAGTGCGGGAGGGGGCCGGGATCTGTCCCGGGGCAGCCGCTTTGGCCGCCCGGGGCGCCCGCCACGCCGGGCCCGAAGCTCCCCGCCCGCCCGAGAGGGAGTGGGGAGAGAGTTTGAACTCGAAGGAGGCTCCGAGGCACGGGGCGAGGCCTGGCGCCTCTAGGGCGCTCCAGTCCGCTCTAGGCAGGGAAACTGAGGTAGGGGTGGAGAGAGGGGACCCCTTCGCGGGCTCCGGGGCTGGCAGTGCACGGTGCTTGGGCGTCTCCCCCTCCCCCCTGATTGGCGCCAATGG